GAGATCTTTTCCTAATACAACTAGCCTTTATTAAGGTACAGCAAAGAAAGAGGTAAAAACTGATAGGAAAAGAAGCAAAATATCAGACAAAGAGAATTATCATTAGCAATCTGCCACTTTGAGAAACAGCATTTCCATTTTTAGTACATATTCAGCCCATGTGCTACCTACCTGTAATACTGAATCCTCATTAAGAATAGGCAGCATACTGTTTTTATTCCTTTGCGGTGAGTCCCCTCTGAGTTTGCCTCCAAGTTGAATCTCAGGAGATGGTGTACCTAGAATTAAATATAATCATAAATTTGCACTAGTTTTATTGATCTGCTTTGACAACAACTCAGTGACACTCAAATGACACTTCAAAATGTCATTAAAAGCCATTCTGAAGTTGGGTGCAACAGAACAAACCTGTAATATCAGGTAGCAGTAAAGTGCCTCTAAGTTCAATTCCCAGTATCTCTCTCTCTCTCTCTCTCTCTCTCTCTCTCTCTCTCTCTCACACACACACACACACACACACACACACACACACACACACACACAATCATTTCATGGGGCTGAGGAGTTAATTATGTTTGGATGAGTTCATGAGAACGGAGATCTCATAATGGGATCAGCATCCTTAGAAAAAAGGAAGACTAGATGTCTCTCTCCTGTGAACACAAAGAAGAGGGCATGTGAGCACAGCAAAACAACAGCTGTCTATGAGGCAGAAAGAGGATCATCAAGAACTACATCTGGGGCCAGGTGTAGTAGTGGATACCTAGAATCCTAGCACCTGGAAAGCTGAGGCAGGAGGATCACCACAAGGGTGAGGCTAGCCTCTGAAACTAGGGCCACCCTGACCAACATAAGGAGAATTTGTCCTAATGAAACACACAAACATGATAAAAAAAAAAAAAAAAACCCTGAATCTCTCAGCAGCACCTTTACCTTGCATTGCCCAGCTTCCATAACTCAGAAAGTATGTGTATGTAAGAATAAGTGACAACAATGGTATTTGTAAACAGATTATGCTTTCTCACACACGAAAGATAATTTGATATTTACACACATATGTACAATTTACCTCACTTATTTTATCTCAAGGTCCATCCATTTAGCTATAAATGTCTCAATTTTATCTTTATGGTTGAGTAACACTCCATTATATATATAAAATTTTTTCTTACCCATTCATTGGCTGATGGGCATCGGGGCTATTTCCAAGATTTAGCTCTTACAAAGTGTGCCACTAGAAGCACAGGTGCACATAAATCGCTGTGGCATGATGCTTTTAATTCTTCTGGGAAGATACCCAGAAAGGGAACAGCGAGGTCAAATGGGTCCTCTAAGTGGTTTTTGAGGTATAGCCATACTGAAAATGTAAGAATATAAATGTACAATAGGTACTGTGAAATACGAAGAAACTTCAAAAGGAAAAGAGAACTAGGGAGTAGAAGTAAGGAAAGGAAAAAAGGGGAAGAATGAGAAAAGTATAAAATGAAAACAGCTTTGTGAATGGGGAGGGGAAGGGCAACTGAAAGGAAGGGAAAAGAATGGGAAAAAAAGATATCAAAACATACCTTACCTAAACACAATTCCCTGTAATGAATATGATCATTATGTATGTATGAATTGTACCAATAAACTTAAGCTAAATAAAAATAAAAATAAAATAAACAGATTATGTATTAGGTAATAATGAGGTAAATGATTAACCATGTGCAAAAATACATACTTTCCCTTATGCCAATCTATCTCAAACACATTCAGGATATAAATGGAAAATATGTACATATAATAGATGAAAATAAAGAGAGTATAGTCCATAGTTTTGAAATAGGTAAAATATTTTTGACAAAAAAAGAAACTATTAGATAAGACTACAAAAATTCTTAAAATTTCTTCAAAATAAAATATTTCATGCATAGCATTAAAAGATAACCAGGAAATTACTGTATCTATAGTAAACCATAACACAAGTTTGCTAA